CTTCCATATCTTGGCTTTTATAAATAATGCTGCAGTGAACATTGAAGTGCATATATCTTTTAGAATTATTGTTTTTATTTTCTTTGGGTAAATACCCAGAGTGAAATTGCTGGACCACATGGCAGTACTATTTTTAATTTTTTGAGGAACCTCCATACCATTTTCCATAGTGGCTCACCAATTTACAGTTTCACCAGCAGTTCACGAGATTTCACGTTTCTCCACATCCTTGCCAACACATGTTATTTGTTGTCTTTTTCATGATAGTCATTCTGATAAGTGCGAGGTGGTATCTCATTGTGGTTTCGATATGCACTTCCCTGGTGATTAGTGATGTTGAGCATCTTTTCATGTGTCTGCTGGCCATCTGTAAGTCTTCTTTGGAAAAATGTCTATTCATTTCCTCTGCTCATTTTTTAAATTGGGTTGATGGCTTTTTTTGATGTTGAGTTACATGAGTTCTTGGTGTATTTTGGATATCCCTTATCAGATATATCATTTGCAAATACCTTCTCCCATTCAGTAGGTGGCCTTTTTGTTTTGTTGATAGTTTCTGTCACTGTGCCAAATCTTTAAATTTGATGTAGTACCATTTGTTTATTTTTGCTTTTGTTTCCCTTGCCTGAAGAGACATATCCAAAGAAAACTACTAAGACTGATGTCAGAGAGCATTCTGCCTATGTTTTCTTCTAGGAGTTTTATGGTTTCAGGTCTTAACATTTAGGTCTTTAATCCATTTTGACTTTATTTTTGTATATGGTGTGAGAAAGTAGTCCAGTTTGATTCTTTTGCATGTAGCTCTCCAGTTTTCCCAACACCATTTATTGAAGAATTTATTTCCCCATTATATATTCTTGCCTCCTTTGTCATGGATTCATTGATCATATAAGTGTGTTGTTCATTTCTTGGCTCTTTATTATGTTCCATTGATCCATGTGTCTATTTTATGTCAGGACCATACTGTTTCGATTACTGTAGCTTTTTAGCAGTTTGAAATTAGCTAGTGTGATATTTCCAGCTTTGCTCTTCTTTCTCAAGGTTATTTTGGCTATTTGGGGTCTTTGTGATTATGTACAAATTTTAGAATTATTTGCTTTAGTTCTGTGAAAAATGCCATTGGTATTTTGATAAGGATTGAATTGAATCTGTAAATTGCCTTGGGTAGTATGGTCATTTTAACAATATTCTTCCAATCCAAGAACACAGGACATCGTTGTTTTCAACTTCTTTCTTCAGTTCTTGTAGTTTTCTAACTATGGGTCTTTTACCTCATTGGTCAGATTATTCCTAGGAATTATATTCTTCTTAATGCAATTGTAAGTGGGATTATTTTCTTAATTTTCCCTTCTGATAGTTTGTTGTTAACATATAGAAAAGCAACATATAGTATATCATTTGCAAACAGTGACAGTTTTATTTCTTCCTTTCTAATTTGGATTCCCCTTATTTCTTTATCTTGTCTGGTTGCTGTGGGTAGGACTTCCAATACTCTGCTGAATAAAAGTGGCAAGAGTGGGCATCCTTGTCTTTTTTCTGATGTTAGGAGAAATACTTACAGCTTTTCACCATTGAGTATGAGGTTGGCTCTGGGTTTTTCATATATGGTCTTTATTACTTTGAGGTATGTTTCCTCTATACCCACTTTATTGAGTGTTTTTATCACAAATGGATTTTGAATTTTGTGAAAAGCTGTTTCTATTAAGATGCTCATATGATTTTTATTCTTCACTTTGTTAACGTGGTGTATCGCATTGATTGATTTGTGATTGTTGAACCATCCTTGCATCACTGGGATAAATCCCACTTGATTGTGGTGTATGATCCTTTTACTGTATTGTGGAATTTGGTTTGCTAATATGTTTTTGAGGATTTTTGCATCTATACTTATCAGTGATATTGGCCTATAATTTTCTTTTTTTGTGTGATTTCTTTGTCTGGTGTTGATATCAGGATGATGCTGGCCTGGTAGACTGAGTTTGGAAGCATTCGTTCCTCTTCAGTTTTTTGAAATAGTTTGAGAAGAGTAGATGTTAACTCTTCATTAAATATTTGATAGATTCACCTGTGAAGCCCTCTGGTCCTGGACTTTGGTACTTTGGTTTCTTGGAGGGTGTTTTTGTTTGTTTGTTTGAATTACTGATTCAATTTTATTACTGGTAATTGGTCTGTTCATGTTTTTTTTTCTTCCTGATTCAGTCCTGGGAGATTGTACATTCTAGGAATTTATCCATTTTTCCTAGGTTGCCCCTTTTACAGGCATACAATTGTTCATAGTAATTTCTTATGATCCTTTGTATTTCTGCATTGTCAGTCATAACTTCTCTTTTATGTCTGATTTTATTTATTTGGGCCCTCTCTTTTTTTCTTGTTGAGTCTGTCCAAAGTTTTATCAATTTTATTCATCTTTTCAAAGAACTAGCTCTGAGTTTCATTGATCTTTTCTATTGTTTTTTTAGTCTCTCATTTATTTCTGCTCTGGTCTTTATTTTCTTTCTTCTATTAACCTTTGCATTTTGTTGGTTCTTCTTTTTCTAGTTCCTTTAGGTGTAGGTTGTTTATTTGAGAGTTTTCTTGTTTCCTGAGCCTGGCTTCTGTTGCTATAAACTTCCCTCTTAGAACGGCTTTTGCTGTGTCCCAAAGATTTTGGATCATTATGTTTCCAGTTTCATTTGTCTCCAGGTACTTTTTTTATTTTTTCTTTGATTTTTTTTTCAGCGGCTCATGGTTATTTAGTAACATATTGTTTAGCCTCCATGTGTTTGTGTTTGCAGTTTTTTTCTTGTAGTTGATTTCTAGTCTCATACCACTGTAGTCAGAGAAAGATGCTTGGTATGATTTCATTCTTAAATTTATTGAGAGTTGTTCTTTGACCTAGCATATAATCTCTCCTGGAGAATGTTCCATGTGCACTTGAAAAGAATGTGTATCCTGCTGTTTTTGGATGAAATGTTCTATATATGTTTGTTCCATCTGCTCTATTGTGTCATTTAGGCCAGTGTTGCCTTATTGATTTTCTGTCTGGATGATCTGTCCATTGATGTAAATGGGGTGATAAAGTCCCTTACTATTATTATATTACTGTCAATATTTCCATTTCTGTTTGTCAATATTTGCTTTATGTATTAAGCTGCTTGAACGTTGTGTGCATAATTTACAATTGTTGTATCTTCTGTTGGATTGATCCCTCTATCATTATGTAATGTCCATCTTTGTCTCTTGTTACAGTCTGTTTTAAAGTCTGTTTTATCTGATATACATATTGCTACCCCAGCTTTCTTTTTGTTTCCATTTGTATGGAACACATACCTTTTTCCATCCACTCACTTTCAGTTGGTATGTATCTTTCGATCTAAAGTGAGTTGCTTGTATGCAGCATGTATATACAAGTCTTGTTTTTTAATTTATTCTGCCACCCTGTGTCTTTTGATTGGAGCATTTAGTCCATTTACATTTAAAGTAATTATTGATAGGTTTGTACTTACTGCCAGTTTGTGAATTGTTTCTGGTTGTTATCGTAGTTCTTTTTTGTTCCTTTTTCCTTTGATCTCTTGTGATTTGATGACCATCTTTAGTGTTACATTTGGATTCTTTTCTCTTTTTTGTATGCGTATCTATTGTAGGTTTTGGGGTGGGTTTTTTTAGTAAATCTATTTATTTATTTTTGGCTGCGTTGGGTCTGCATTGCTACGCACAGGCTTTCTCTAGTTGTGGTGAGTGGGGGCTATGCTTCATTGTGGTGCGCAGGCTTCTCATTGCAGTGGCTACTCTTGTTGTGGAGTACAGACTCTAGGTGCATGGACTTCAGTAGTTGTGGCACACAGGCTCAGTAGTTGTGGCTCGCAGGCTCTAGAGCACAGGCTCAGTAGTTGTGGTGCACGGGCTTAGTTGCTCTGCGGCATGTGGGATCTTCCTGGACCAGGGCTCAAACCCATGTCCCCTGCATTGGCAGGCAAATTTTTAATCACTGCGCCACCAGGGAAGTCCTTATTGTAGGTTTTTGATTTGTGGTTAGCATGAAGTTTATACATATCAACATATAGATATATATCGAGACATATACATATATATATATAATCATATGTATATTTTTTGACTTGATGACTTCTTTTTTTATTAACTTATTTTATTTACATACTTGGCTGCATTGGGTCTTCGTTGCTGTGCACAGGCTTTCTCTAGTTGAGGCAAGCGGGGGCTACTCTTCGTTGCGGTGCACGGGCTTCTCATCGCTTTGGCTTCTCTTGTTGCAGAGCACGGGATTTAGGCATGTGGGCTTCAGTAGTTGTGGCACACGGGCTTAGTTGCTCCACGGCATGTGGGATCTTCTAGGATCAGGGCTCGAACCCATGTCCCTTTCATTGGCAGGTGGATTCTTAACCACTGTGCCACCAGGGAAGTCCCGACTTGATGACCTTAAGTTCAAAAACATTCTAACCACCTTACATTTCCCTACATTTTTAATTTTTTTATGTCATATTTTACAATTTTTCATTTTTTGTATCCCTTAATTACTCTTGTGGTTGTAGATGAATTTACTATTTTTGTCTTTTAACCTTCCTACCAGCTTTGTAAGTAGTTAATCTACTACCTTTACTGTATATTTGCTTTTACTAGTGAGATTTTTCCTTTCATAATTTTTGTATTTCTAGTTGTGGTCTTTCCTGCTTAGAGAAGTCTCTTTAACATTTCTTGTAAAGCCAGCTTAGTGGTGCTGAACTCTTAGCTTTTGTTCGTTTGTGAAACTCATCTCTCCTTCAAATCTGAGTGATATCTTTGCTGGCTAGAGTATTCTTGTTTGTAGGTTTTTTCCTTTAATCACTTTAAACATATTGTGCCATGTTCTTCTGGCCTGTAGAGTTTCTGTCAAAAAGTCAGCTAATGGTCTTACAGGAGTTCCCTTGTGTGTAACTGGTTGCTTTTCTCTTGCTGCTTTTATGTCTTTCTTGGTATTTATTGTTATGCAAGACATCCTTATTTTTGTGTGTGCTTATCTCTTATAGAAAAGGCCACAAATGAGTACAACACTACAGAAGATTGGAGTCTTATTATGGACATATGTGACAAAGTTGGAAGCACTCCTAATGGGTAAGATGCCCAGTCATGCCCGCTGAATGTCTAGGAACTTAATAATCTGTGTCTCTTATCCTGATGTAACTTTGGAAGGAAAATGGGATTTTTACTATTTCCTTTTGGGGATAAAAGTAAAGACATGCTGGGTGGCTGGATTTATGTGGTTAACCTCATCCTGAAAGAACAAATGAAAAGAATTGACCAAAAACTTGAAATATTAAAACACATAATTAAAGCCTTTTTACAGCAGGGACACACGTTAACAATGAATAGACTTAATTATTTAGGGAATTCCCCTGTGACTTAGACATGTTTAATAATGAAGTAGGTAAATACAATAACATAAAACATATATACTAAAAAGACCTTTTAATAATGAATAGGTAAATGCAATAAATCATAATGAAAAAATGAATATAAATAATGGTGCTTTGGGGATGGAATGGAGCAGTCAAGCTGAACTGATTATACGTTAGAAGTTTAGAAGACTGATGAAAGCATTTGTTTTAACATTACAGCTTTTCAAAGTGCATTCATGCATGTTTATACTTAAATCTTTTGAGACTGTATATCTTGCTAGTTTTTTTTCCCACAAGATAAGAATTTGCTCTGTGAAAGCTCAGTCTGTCTTGAAGAAATGAAAAGGTAATTTATATGATATTATTCTCTTGTGTTGACTGACCTTTTTTGAAATGATTTGGCTCTTCATTTTTGATTTTGGAATGTACAACCTTTGCAACAAGTTTTCTTTTTCTTTTTTTTCTTTTAAGTTCTACAAGTCTATGAGCAAAACATTGTGTAAGATCATTTGATAGATTGAGTCCTTTAATGAAGTGACATTTGCAGGTGTATATATAAGGTATTCTGCTACCAAATAAGTTTAAATTTAAAAGTAAATGTTTGAATTGAAATTCTGAATACTTAACCTTCTTCATTTTTTTAGAGCAAAAGATTGCCTAAAAGCCATAATGAAAAGGGTAAATCATAAGGTTCCTCATGTTGCTCTGCAGGCGTTAACTGTAAGTGAAAGTCTTGTTATTATTTGACCCAAATTTTAAATGTGTATTTATTTCAGTTAAGTAAGATAATATCTCAACATTTATATATTGATTTTTATTTTAATTAATAGCTTCTTGGGGCTTGTGTGGCAAACTGTGGAAAGATATTTCATTTAGAAGTATGTTCCCGTGATTTTGCAACAGAAGTACGTGCTGTGATAAAAAATAAGGTAAATTTTAAAAAGAGAAGAAATTTGTCATTAAAAAATATATATGCTGTGTTATTTTAACTATATAAAGCATTAATAGAGTTGTATAGTAAGGGAAATCATTTTAAATAGATTTGAAATGAAAAAAACTTTCTGTTCTAAAATTTGTTGTTTGCATTTGTAACACCAAAAACTGTTTTCCTCCCCAAATCATATATATTAGTGATAATAGCTGATCTTTATTGAGGGTTAGCAGTCACTGCTTTAAGCATTTTATGTATGCTACCTTTTTTAAAGCTCTTAACAACCCTTAGAAGTTAGATTCCCTTATCATTCCTATTTTATAGATGCAGAAACAGACTTAAGAGAAGTTAAGTAACTTGTCTAAGGTTATGCAGCTACTAAGTGGCATAGTTGATGTTCATATTCTGGTTTCTGTGACTTCAGAGTCCAAACTAACCACCATTCTGTCCTGATTCCCATTAGAGATGGTGAGCAAAGGGGGCCTTTATTTTAGAGCAGGGTGGAGAGGGTCTTCTTGATGGGGTTGTTATTAATTTATTTCTGTTAGAAGCTCTGAAGCACTATTCTCATGCTATTAGTGGCAAAAATATCAGAATTTTAGTTTAGTTGATATGAAAAGCTTAATCTAATATTGAGAATATTAAGAAAACATAAAAGAAATATCCTCTGAATATAATAGATTCATTGTCATTGTATAAGGCATAAATGTTGATGTTCAAAAAGGGTAATTTTCTGGGCTTCCGTGGTGGCGCAGTGGTTGAGAGTCCGCCTGCCGATGCAGGGGACACGGTTTTGTGCCCCGGTCCGGGAAGATGCCAGGGAGTGGCTAGGCCCGTGAGCCATGGCCACTGAGCCTGCGCGTCCGGAGCTGTGCTCCGCAACGGGAGAGGCCACAACAGTGAGAAGCCCGCATACCGCCAAAAAAAAAAAAAAAAGTAATTTTCCAAGAAACAACTATATATTAAAATGTAAATAAGCATTTATCAAGTGCTCATTTAGGCTAAGGATTGCTAGACTTTTGTTGATGTTCATAAAATTAGAGAATTTTGGTGGTAATTCTCTTTGTTAAATAATTCAAGTACTTATTTTAACAATTTTTTTCTTTGCCTTTTCTTTAAAAGGCTCATCCTAAAGTATGTGAAAAACTGAAATCTTTAATGGTGGAGTGGTCAGAAGAATTTCAGAAGGACCCACAGTTTAGTCTGATATCTGCAACTATTAAATCTATGAAAGAAGAAGGAATTACTTTTCCTTCAGCAGGTTCTCAGGTAAGAGATCATTCAGACTCATGGTTGACCCTATACTATTTTGAAGATATATACCTTGGGTAAAAGCTGGCAAGGTTTATCTTAGTCATCATTGCTTACCTGCACTCTACAGGAGTCTGTCTAGCGTAGTGCCTTATATTGAGTAGACATTGTAATTGTCAAGTGAATTACTTCTACAAATGAGAACTTTGAGAAGTGAATCATCCATAAATAATCTGTTTAATGCTACTCTGAATGTAGAGTCATGCAAAAGGCATAGATGTGTGAGAGAGCCCTTATGTTCAAGAAATTTATAGTCAATTTGGAGGGTAACTATATACATGTGAAAAATAACTAGTTATAATTGACAAATATGGATGAGGGATACACAAGCTAGATGCCAGGTTAACTACAGATTGGGATGGTGAAGAAGGTGAAGAGTAGAATTTTTAGGCTGGAATGTATTTCAGTATGTAGAGAGGAGTAAAGAGGTCATCAAGGAAGGAATGACATGAACCAGTTCATGGACTTGAGAAAGCTCAAGACCTGTTTGTTGAAGAATGAATATGCCTGGAGTGAATAGTGTAGTTTACATATAAGATGGGGTGAACTATAAGATGAGAAATTTATTTGGAGATGTAGGGGGTAGCTTTAGTAGGACAGGGGTGGGAGCAGGGATGATGAGTCACAGAGTAGGTTGTTTTTTTTAGTCTGTGGGAGAAAAACACTGTGTCTTGGCTTTTGCTCTCAGTGCCTCTTCTTTTCCAGGATGTGGGCTAGGCAAAGAGACTAAGAGAAGTACTGTATATTTTTTTTAAATTTTGGACTGTAGACTGAAGACACAAAAAGAACCTTTATAGCTGACCAGGCCTAAGGGTTCAAGATAGAATTTTGAGATAAAAACCTTATAAGTAACAAAAGTCTAGCATTTTCCTGCTCTGTCCTTTCTGCAGGTCATTCTCAAAAATCTGTGTTAAAGAACTGGTTGATGGTTCAGAATCCTGGACATCTCTGTCTTCCATGCCTTTAAGTTTAACCATGACCTTCCTTAGTCCTCTGCTATGCCTGAAGAGCCACCACCATTCAAACACAATGAGTAGTAAAAGGGGGCTTAACGTGTATGCCTAGAGCTGCACCTTTTGTCTGCGTCCTCCCTCCTCTTTTCTTCAGTCATTATCATGGCTTCTTGCTTCTACTGCTCGCATAGCCCTGTGCCTCTAGCAGTATAGCACCTCTCACTGAATGAGAGACCTTGGACCACTGAGATCAGGAAGGGCAATCAGGAAAGATTCATATTTAAGTACTTTCTGTATGCCAGGTTCTGTGTCAGATACTAAGATTTATGCAAAATGTAAGCCGGTTCGTGCCCTTTGTGATTTTTTTAATGTTTTCTTGAAAATTCTGATGTTCTGTTTTAGTGCTTGAAAACAACTACTTAATATTATCACAAAGACCTTCACTTTTAAGTGGAACTTAATTAACTTTTTAATTAGCATGAGCGAATAATCATAGAGCTTGTGTTTTCCTTGAAAAGGTAGTTGTGTTCATTTTACTCATACATTACAGACCGTCTCAGTTGCTGCCAAGAATGGTACGTCATTGAACAAAAACAAAGAAGATGAGGATATAGCTAAAGGTAAATAAAGGATCATGCACGTGTAATTTAGTGTTGCTAACCTAAAAACTAGTGGAGTCTGAAAAGTAAGAGAAACAATTGACGAGATATAAGATTGATTGAACTCATAAGCGTTGTCAGTAACATGTATTTAATGTCCTACCTTTGACGAGATTACATTTCACCTTTTCTTTAATGCCAAAGTTATGAGTCAAGCACAGAAATATGTTCATGACTTGTCCTATATGGAAAGCTACCCATATTATAATGTCACAATCTGTTTGCTGTAAAAATAATAGCTGCTATATATGACAGACTGTGATAATAAGGAATGAGCAAAAACTTATTTTAAAAAATGTCATGGTTCTCTGCCCTGTCCCCTCTCCCCTTCCTGCCCCCACAAAAGCTAATTGTTTAGCGTTCAACTGGACAAATAAGATATTCACTTGATTTATTCTTATTAAATAGTACATTATGTAATATTTCTTATTAAAGTTTTAAAAAATAAGAATTAATTCTGGCTGTCTTGTTTTTTGTATTTTAATTTTTCAAACTAGCTATTGAATTATCATTGCAAGAGCAGAAGCAGCAGCACACAGAGACAAAATCTTTATATCCATCTGCAGAAATTCCATCAAATAATAAAGTTGCAAGGAAAGTGAGAGCTTTATATGATTTTGAAGCTGTGGAGGACAATGAACTCACCTTTAAACATGGTGAAATTATTATTGTTTTGGATGACAGGTATGTTTTAAATATTTCTTGAATATTTTGAAGTTATTAAGTATAATACCCTTAATTTAGAATGCTGGATATTCAGCTTTTGACTTTGGTGTATTTAAATCGTACTAGAACCTTTTCTACCTTAGTTATTTTTTTCTCAAATTAGACTGGGTAGTGTGAGTTTCTTATTCTTTTGTTAAATTTGGTAATAAAGTATTCTTTAGATCTTGGATTAAAAATGTATTAAATAATATTGTTTATTATCACAATTGGGAAACAGAAATATTCAGTCATCTGAATGGCATTTATATTAGGAGTTGTATATTCTAAAATTACTGGCAAAAAAAAACTTTAGGAAGAGATATAGTTATATTACCTTTGATCAGTGCAACCAAAAACTACTCAGCTCCTCCGCAATTCTTAATCTGCTACTGCCTCTCCCTCGCAATTTCTCTATCACTTAAAGTTGTAATAAAGAATAGATCTGTCTGTATTGGGCCTAAGTCTATTTTACTTTGCTTTTAAAAGAAATTGATGAAATTTAGCAAGAGTGAGACCTCATAGCTTGTTGCTGTGAAGAGAGATTGCAAATGTATTTGGTATCCATTATAAGTAACTTAGTAAGGATACATTAGTATATTTTTAAATGTGTAGATACATAAAATCATTTTACTTTGCTACAGTAAATATTTATTGAGAAAATGTTATGTAAATAAGCTGTGTTTATAATAAAAAAGTGACCGAGGGCACAGTTCTTTCTTCATGAAACCTAGAATAAAGTAAGGAAGTTAAAGTTAGAGGTAATTAGGTGGGATGCAGATTGTGAATGCCATAAGAGGTAACGTTGGGGTCCAGAAGAAAGCAGAATCACACCTGGTACAAGCATCTAGGAAAGAAGGCTTATCCAGGGGGTCTATTTCAGGTGTTTGGAAAGGAATAGACAAAATTATCATTTCCAGATTCTGTGGCTGTCCATTTACAAGGTCCAAGAGAATCAATGATCAAACTGTTAAAACTGATAAGAGTTCATCAGGTTGTTGGATATAAGCTCAGTATACAAAAATCAGTGGTATGCTTTAATCACAACTATTTAGAAAATGTAGTAGAAAAAAATGTCATTCTCTATAGTCACAAAAATTATAAATGATTGAGGAATAAATAAACCTAACAAAGGTACATAAGGACTTTATGGAAAAAATTATAAAATTCTTTGAAAGATACAAAGGAATATAAATATATGTAATATATTTATGTAAATATAAATGGAGAGAGATACCATGTTTATGGTGAAGAAACCTTAATATTGTAAAGATTTAATTTTTCCAATGTTAATGTATAAACAGTGCATTTCCAATTAAAAGCCCAATAAGACTTTTTTTTAGAGAACTTGAAAACATTTTAATTTTAACATTAATATGGAAATGTGAAGGTATACAGTAACGTAGGGAAGGTACTTACCCTGCCAAGTATCAAGGCATATTAACAAGCTGTAGTAAATAAATACATAGACTGTTGCAACAGGATGGAATCCAAAAATAGGCTCATGAAAGATAGCAGCTTGCTGTTTGAAAGATAGGCTATCATAAATCAGTAGAAAAATTGGTGTACTATTAAGTTTTTGTGCAGTATAAATAAAATTTGATTCAGCTTCACACAGTACATAAAATTTCATTCCAAATAAATTAAAGAACTAAACGTGGGAGAGGGATATAAAGGAAAACCTGAAACTATTAAACAAATATATAGGAGAATAGGAGTTCAAGGATAGAGAAAGATTTCTTTTTTAAAAAAGTGTAGGGGGCTTCCCTGGTGGCGCAGTGGTTGGGAGTCCGCCTGCCGATGCAGGGGACGCAGGTTCGTGCCCCGGTCTGGGAAGATCCCACATGCCGCGGAGCGGCTGGGCCCGTGATCCATGGCTGCTGAGCCTGTGCTCTGCAACAGAAGAGGCCACAGCAGTGAGAAGCCCGCGTACCACAAAAAAAAAAAAAAAAGTGTAGGGACTTCCCTGGTGGTGCAGTGGATAAGACTTCATGGTCCCAATGCAGGGATTCGATCCCTGGTCAGGGAACTAGATACCACATGCATGCCGCAAATAAGAGTTCACATGCCACAACTAAGGAGCCCACCTACCGCAACTGAGGAGCCCATGTGTCGCAACTAAAGGAGCCCACGTGCTGCAACTAAGGAGCCCACCTGCTGCAACTAAGACCCAGCACAACCAGATAAATAAATATTTTAAAAAATAAAAAAAAATTAAAAAGTGTAAACCATAAAAGGTTGCTAAATTTGATTATAGAAACAGAAAACAACATGCAATAAAACTGTAAGCATATGTTAAAAGACAGTGACAGTTTGAGAGAAGGTATTTGCATAATGCAGACAAACAAATGCTAATCAGAATATGTACAGAACTCCTACATATCCATGAAAAGAGACAAATGACCCAGTAGAAAACGAAAAGTGGACAGAAGGTATGAACGAGCAGTTTACAGAAGAGGCATTTTGGATGCTCAGAAGTGCAGATGAGCACAGCAGTGAGATGATTTCTCCTGTGTGACATCATGTGTTGATTGGACAGTTAACACGTGTGAGCAGAAATGACATTCTCACACACTGCTGAGGGAAAGGAGGATGGTGAATTGCCACAACCACTTTAGGGAACATTTGGCAATACTAGTAACGTGTTCTGTGGCCCTGCAAGTCCATGTCTGTGAATAAGCTAGAGAATTGTTGCATGTACGCCCTAAAATCTAGAATGATTATTGCCCCAATCTTCATAAGGGTGAAAGACTGGAAATAACCTAAATGTCCGCCTGTATGGGGATGGATAAATCAAATATGCCATGTTTGTGTGATGCATCTTTAAAAGGAATAAGCAAGAGCTGAAAGTATTGACATAAAATTTAAAAGATCTATAATGACTAGTATTTATATCTATAGAGCTGACTATAGATATCTATAGGTATATAGATATCTATAGATATATAGATATTTATATCTATAGAGTTTACTATATAGATATAGTAAAAGAATAAAAAATACACTTGAAGGAAGGTGACATACCAACTTGATAGTGGTGGTATGAAAGATGGATGTGAGTTTGGGACTTGGGGATGTTGATAAAGGAAACTTCAGTGTTATTTATAATGTTTTGATTTTTTTTAAGGCCCAGAATCAAATATGACCAGTTGCTGATTGGTTCTAAATTTAAGTATGGGAGTATGGATGTTTTGTTTTATTTGTGCTTTTTTATAGTTCCTATTAAGTTTAAGAAGAACTACATTTAAATATAGTGGGATTTGAGCTGGTATTTTCAAAGTAGGCTAAATTTAATTTTTATCTTAATTACTCTTGACATTAGTGTACTGAAATGTAGAGTAACAAGTGACATTTTTGTACTGTATTTTCAGTGATGCCAATTGGTGGAAAGGAGAAAATCACAGAGGAATAGGACTCTTCCCATCTAATTTTGTAACAACTAATTTAAACATAGAACCTGAGGCAGGTAAGTTAAGTCTGAGGGAAGGTTGAATCTATTGAAGTTTTTTTTAACTTGAATTTTGTGGTTCAGTTTGAAATATAAAGTAGATTGGCATTTAACTCTTGTTTTAAATCATTTATTTATAAGGAATACAGTGTAACATACTGCTTACCAAATTAAGGCATTAACTTATCCCAGGTCAATTCCAAGAGTTATTTCCTTAACATTATATTTTAAATCCTTTGAGAGCTAATGTACAGAGGTACAATTAAGGCATAAAATAAGCTGTGCTTGACCATGTAAATATTTAAATCAATGTAATTATAGTTTAAGAGGCAGTATGTGTTTGTTCAGTACAAACAAATATTTGTTTTATTCATCACTGAAGCACAGTATCAAAGCGGGCTGGGGGTGGGGTGGTGGTTGGGAGAACTGGTTGACAAGTGCTGAGTGTGATTACAGGGGTTAGGAGTACGCCTAAGTTTTAGACTTTTCCTCACCTTGATTTGATCCTAGCGAACTCAGAACAATAACAAAGTCATGTAATCAAGGCAGTAGGTCCCTAGTTCAGATCTTCTGAACTTCACTCAGTTTTGCAGCCATAGACCGTTCCCCTCAGCTGCTGCCAACCATACAGAGAAAGCTTCCATTTGTTAGGCAGGCAGGGAGTTGGGGGGAGCTGAGTGTAAAGAATAGCTGATGATAACACTAGTGATGGTGAGGATCAAAAATAGAATTGCTCAGTGGTGTTTAAGCACTCATTTGTCAGGTGTTAAGCCAAATCTTTTGCTTGCACTATTTCGTTTAATGTTCATAAGTCTGTGAGATAGGTACTTTTGTTACCTCATTTTACAGATAAGGAAACTGATGCTGAGGTTATGTGGCTAGTAGGTGACAGCCAGGATACTAAAGTCAGCTAGTCTGCCGTTAGAATGTACTTGTACTAACTGACTCACTGCTGGACATACTGCTTCTAATCCTTATAGTTCTAGAGAAAGAACTTAAATTGAAAACTCTCTGCACTGTGTGTAACATCATCTTTGTATGGGTAGGGTGATGCATTCAATTAAAATGAAGTGTAGAGAGATGAATACTGAGTACTCTGCCACTATTTATACTTTTTATTCCTCTAGTCTGACTCTCTAAGTAGGTATGAAAATTAGAGACACTAGTTTTAATAACTTGATAGACCACGCTCAGGGAATCCTATACTATGGTGATTTCCCCTTGGCATAGGCTAGAGAGATTGAGCTGCAGTTTTAAAAGGAAAAAATATTTGGGGTTTTCAGTAAGTCCTCATGTTATGCTGAGGTCTGCTCCTTAGGGCATATTTGAAAGTTAGCCAAATATTTGAAATAACTGTTGGGACTTATAAGTTCTTTGGTTATATAAACTTTGATTTTAATTTTTTTTACTAAAATTTACTTTATTAAAATATAGTACATTATAGCAGTACTCCAGTGAGCATTTAAATAGTTTTTTGTATATGTATGTTTGTAAGTTATTTTTCAGCCTTCTTTTTCCTAGGAAAAGTTTCTGTTTTGTGTTGCTTTAACCGTTATCAAAGTTAGGTTGAAATCAAGTCTATTTTTTTGTACATATAGAAAATAATTTTTTATAGCAAGGAAAGAGTGTAGAAGTTGTTCATAGATTTAACTCTGAAATGAGCTAATTAGATAATACTCTGTCTACTCTCTCATATATATATATTCACCCTAGTGATAACACTCAGTTCTCAGGAAAGTGTCTGTAATGACAGTTCCCATGAATTGCTTACTTGTTCCTCTAGAATGTAAGTTCCATCAGGGCAGGGATTCTTATCTGCTTTATTCATTGGTGTATTTCCAATGCCTAGAACAATGCCTGGCACGTAGTAAGGGCTAAATAAATGGTTGTGGCATGAATGAGTGAACATACGTAATAATTTATATTGATTATGAAATGTGATGATTATTTAAAGGGTTTCCATTTTCTTATGGATAATCACAGGCTACTTATAAATTAATGACTAAAATACCAAAGTAAATACTAAGGAACTTAAAGTTTACTTTGTTTCCATAGCAGCTGTGGACAAATTGAATGTAATTGATGATGAAGAGGAGGAAATTAAGAAATCAGAGCCTGAGCCTGTTTATATAGATGAGGTAGGATCCTTCTTTTGTTTAATGGTTAAACTGTTGAGACTTAAAATGTATTATCCTTGAGAATGCTTGGAAAGAGTAATTTTTATTATCATTGAAATTAAAACTCTTTGTAAAGTGTCCTATTACTTTTTTAGGATAAGATGGATAGAGCCCTGCAAGTATTGCAGAGTATAGATCCAACAGATTCAAAACCAGACTCCCAAGACCTCTTGGACTTAGAAGGTGAATATTAGGGATTAATGTCATTTAATGTTTTAGCTATTTATAATGTCTTAAATTTCTTCTGCCTTGGGTTGCTTCCAGAGTTTAGAAATCTCTGGTGGGAAATAAGACTGGTGTAGTAAATGAGTAAACATATTACTTAGAAGATGTTGCTGTAAAACTGCCTATCCTGTCTAGTGAAGAAGTCTTTGCTTTTCTGTAATATCACTAGTGAAATTTGCAGTCCAAAAAAGGACAGAATTAGAAATAACAGCATATTAATTGAGTCAAAATGTTCGAAATTCTTATTCCTCTTTTAATTCTCTTGTGTCGTAACTTTAAATGTCAAAATTATACATGATCTGTGTTAACTTTGTAATGCAGTTATTTGATGCATGCTGATGTGTCTTTTTAGTCTCTAAGAAATCTGAAACAAAACAAATGTCTTTATGTCTTTTTTAATCCATTGGGAGAAAAATCTCTGTGATAAATGGAATTAAATTTTTTTATGGAAGAAAGCCTGGTTATGAATATATAATATTATGCTATTGTATCAATGTTTACATTTGGAGATATATAAAATGTTTTATTTTGAAATGGCTTAAATAAATGAAAAATGTTCATATCTAATCTGTACTTAATTACATATTTTATACACTGTGACTCAAATTCCTTTTACTTTAGCTAATAATAGTTTTCTAGGTATTTTTAAAATTTTTGAGGTAACTCCAAATTTCAGTCTGCAAACTTAGTACTTCCAGAGAACATGGTGGGATTTCTGTTCTGATTTTGACTTTGCCTTGGTCACATGATATTAATGTTGATGCTGAATAGTATTAAATTTGGTCTTTTATAGTACCTTCTCTAGCATAAACTTAATTCTCTTTGTATTTTGCATGGTGTTGCATATGGTGCTCTGTTGTTCAAAATTTTTGAAATTGACTTAAACTGGTTTTTAGTTTCAAGATTTTAAAATATTTTTGTATTTACAGATATCTGCCAACGGATGGGTCCAATGATAGATGAAAAACTTGAAGAGATTGATAGGTGAGATTCTTCATGCAGGAAATAACAAATATAGTTTTCCTAAGTTTACTTGTTTTTGGCAGAACTTTAAGCTAGGGAGTTTTTGTGGAACTGTTCCAATCTTTTGAAATTGTTTCTCAGTTTCCAAAACTCTTACAAACTAATAGCAGAATGGTACTTTTGATTTTGGTGCAGTTTTTTTCATGGCAATATATTACATGCAGAATGATAGACTCCAGCTCTTACAGTGCCAGTCTTCCTTTTCCTACTTGGGCTGGAGTTGAGAGATAATGAGTTGTGAAGAATAAAGCACAAAAATGGGAATAGGGATCTTAGGCAAGCATTGTTTTGTTATATAATGAGAAGTAGTATTTGTAAAACTTTCAAATGAAATTTCCTATGTGTTTGTGACTCTAAATCCAGTGTATATACCTTCTGTTCTCATTTTTGTTCCCTGTATTTCTGTATCTCTGTTGTCCTTTTAATTTCATTATCCTATCTAGTCTTACACTTCCTTAAAAATACTAGCACTGAAAGACAGACTGTCAGGGTTTTGAGCTTTTAACTTAATTTTGCTCCTTCTCTTATTCCTCAGAGCTTTCTGTCTGAAGTCAGAGGGGGCAGCCGTAGTGAATGGCAGACAAGGAAGAAGGCTTTAGTGCTCCACCATCCTCCCTTTCTGTTTACTGAACTTGTGTACAAAACAGCACAAGAACAGGAACTACTTTACTTCTTATCTACCTTTACCAGAGAAGAGTAGTAGCAGCAAGATTTTTTTCTAGTCACTGAAGATTATAATCTTTGTTCCCTGAGACTTTTTTTTTGTAAATTTGTTGTATTTTCTACAGAAATGAAAAATAAATCCCTGTCGCAGTAAATGAAATGATGGTAGCAGTTTCATCACATTTTATTGGTCTTATTTTGGAGAAAGCATTGAATATCTACCTATACATCTGTTACTTTGGTTTCATTGAAGGCATGTTAATGGTCAGTGAATAATCAAATGGGAAAGATTAAAAAGAAAGATAGTATTATCTTAGGTGTGGTTAGGGGTGCAATTATTATAAACCTTTCTGGAGCCTAAACATAGTCTATATCTTTTAACCCAGCGATACTAAATACATAGGGATATATGCAAAGATTTACCTCTTAGAGTGTTCTTCACAGTGTTATTTATAACAAACTTGAAAGTAACTAAAATAACTCTTTTTTTCCCCTTAATTTTTATTTATTTATTTTTGGCTGCATTGGGTCTTTGTTGCTGTGCGCGGACTTTCTCTAGTAGCAGTGAGCGGGGGCTACTCTTTGTTGCAGTGCTCAGGCTTCTCATTGCAGTGGCTTCTCTTGTTGCAGAGCACGGGCTCTAGGCGCGCGGGCTTCAGTAGTTGTGGCTCATGGACTCTAGAGCGCAGGCTCAGTAGTTGTGGCACAGGGGCTTAGTTGCTCCGCGGCATGTGGGATCTTCCGGGACCAGGGCTCGAACCTGTATCCCCTGCATTGGAGGTGGATTCTTAACCACTGCGCCACCGGGGAAGCCCTAAAATGTCTTTCAATGTGAAATTGGTTTAAAAAGTATTCTACATCCATACATTCTACAATAAAAAGCATTACCACTGATAAATATCTATTGACATGGAAAGATGTCATGCTATATAATGAAAAAAAAAACCGAAGATATGACAGTATAATTTTATTTTTGTTGATAAAAAAGAATATCTTCAGAGAAAAAGGTCTAGAACAATTAAAAATTAGAGTGATATTTTCTGATATGAGTTAATTTTTTGAGTGAAAGCTCACCTGTTAACCAGTTCTCTCTTCAATTTCAGTTCCTGAATGGGCCAGCTGGCATTTTCCATTCCATGCCCACTAACTGCAGATGCATCTCCTGTTCTGGAAAATGCTTGCTGTTCTGCAACAAATTTTTATTGACTATTTACCTTTGTCAAACATTCAGAGATGAATAAAATATTGCTTCTTCACTTGAATGGATCATTGTCAGTTTGTTTTTCCTTAAAAGAAAAACAACTTTACTGTCAGAATTTAAAATTTTACATTTCATTTCTGTCTGTCATTGTACAGAATGAAATTTTGTAGCATTTATCACACTAGGAAATTATATTGTGTAAACAATATAAATTAACCCCAAAAAAGTGTACATAGAGTTATTGAAGAGAGATCCATAGCTTGAACTTAACTATGTTCCAGGCTGTTCTAACGTTCTTTCCTTCTACCTTCCGAAAACCGTTTTCTACCACCTTAATCAAATTACCCTCTTCATTCTTCCCTCGTGTACCCTTCTCGTTCCTTTCACTTGCCTTAATTCACACTGTCCCACTGACCTGACTTAGCCTTCCTTTTTTTGCTTGGCCTCTCCATCCTTCCTCAGGTGCCAGCTTAAGTCCCAGCTTCTCCCTAAAGCCTTTTCAGTCAAATTAATCCCCTCCTCTAAACTCTTCTGTTCCCTACCTATTTCATTTAATTTTGCATTCAAATATATGCTGTCTTACATCATTTGCTATTTTTCAGGTGCTTAGCCTTGTCTTCCTAGTAAGTTGCAGTCTTTCTGAAGGAGAGGACCACACCTTCTGCCTAATTTCTCTGTCCCAGGATAGTGTTGGGCACAGTTTAGTAAAAAATTTGTTTCTTTGGTATTATGTCTCAAATCCTGGAAGGTGATCTCAAATGTGCTCAGTCATCCTGCCCTTCTATGTTCTTCTGGTATTCATCAGTATACTGGGTTATGTGGACCAATTGCCTATGGTTATTTCTTAGTCACAAATTTGTCAGCATGGACACTAATTTCTGAAGCTTCCTGTATGATTTATAACTGGTATTTCTGAAAATAGAGTTTGACCTCCTTTATACTGTCACACATGCAAGAGAGGAAACAGCACTTTTTGTTTGTTTGAGACATAACAGTCTCTGATAGAGGAAAGGTGACAAGTCCTGACAGGACTCAGTCCAGGTCATGTATTTGGGAGCCCTGTGTCTGGCTGCCTGTGTTTGCCTCTTGTCTCTCGAGTCTCTCTGTGTACATATTTAAAAAGCTACATTTAATAAACAGACTTGTGGGTGCTTTAGGCCAGATAAAGTGGCCGTTCAGGGTACTTCCCAGGGTAACAGGCAAAATTGTACCAAGTCAAAAGGATTTGCATTGGAGTTCCTTGGGCAGATTTGAAGATGCAAATTTGAAAATGTTCTTATTTGGACCTGGTTTCACTCACTTTTTCGGAAGAAACCAGCAAACAAGCAGTAGAGACTAGTTCATTATATTGTTTTCATTTTCATTTTCAAGGATAAATAATATTCTTTTTTTTTTTTTTTAATCCTTTCATGAGTATGAGCAGATGAAAATGTGTGTGATTTTGTTTGTGAATGTACTTTTATCTCAGTCATATTGTATTTCATAGCAGGCTCTGGGCCTTGCCTGAGGACTTTCTTCTACTAAGATTTTTTTAATTAAGGCTTGGACTCTTCCTAAATTTAGTAATTATTCTTCTTTGTAATTGAATTTCCAACAGAGACCTGTAACATAAGAAACAACATTCTCCTAGCACCAGAATTATGAATTGATTGCATTTTATGAGGTGTGGAAAGGAGTTCCCCTAATATTATGAAGTCATATCAGCCTAGATATTACATGAATTAAATAATTCCTCCTCCCATTTTCCCTTTTTGAATATACTTTCATATATATAAAGAACCTTTTAAAATATGAGTAGAAAATGTGGTAAATTTTTAAAAATAATTTATGTTGCTAAAAATTAAAAATATGCTTAAAATACTTAAAAACTTTGAAGAGTATTAAAGTGCTTCCCTTCTATGTTAGGAAGCATTCAGAATTGTCTGAATTGAATGTAAAAGTCTTGGAAGCTCTGGAACTATATAACAAGTTGATGAATGAAGCACCAGTATATTCAGTCTATTCAAAGATCCATCATCCAGCACATTACCCACCTTCATCAGCTGGAGTTCCAATGCAGGTGAGCATTTTTGAGAACATTTTTCAAAATTTAAGAAAAGTTTTAAATTTAAAAAAAGAAAGCTTTAAAGCATAGTATTAAAATTTCTATGGTCTATGAATAACATTATAAAATTCACCTTTGTCAAAAAATGTTGGCTAAACAATTAGTGTTCACCAGGACAATTACAAAGACACTGATATTTCACAAATACATTTTAGTTCATTTATAACATAATGAAGAGACCATTAAATATATGAGGGGAGTTCTGTTCTTCATAAGCTTTTGTAAATATAAAGCATAAATCCTTTATGTAAGTGTAAATCCTTTTTGTAAGTATAAATCCTTTGATTTAGGACAGTGCCTGGCATGTCACAATTTCTACAGATGAGGTACTGATGCTGTTCCTGTTGCTCAGCAAGCAAAATTTAACATTTCTTTTAAATTTCTGTTAAGATTTCTTTGACTTACATGATTATTAAAAGGCTTCATTAAAGAACTCATTTTGTTCTCAGATCATGCTTTATATTTTCTTAGATGCACAACTTAAATTGTGCATGCATAACATATATGATGCAGGCATATAGATGCAGGTTCCATGAGCCATTCATGAACACCATCTTTTCCAGAACTTTACACCTTTTCTGTGTTTCCCAGCTGAACTGAATATTTATTTTTATCAATATCCATTATTCTGAAACCTTTTTGAAATTTCGGCCAGTTAGTGATTGAATTCAGAATGAGTTTGGATGAACAAATTTCATATTAATTTACAAAAACTGGTATGTAAAGGAGTGTGTGAAGGAGACACCAAGGAGAAAAGATAGAATATGGATGCATAATCTAGATGACTTGACACAACATAATTGTTAAGTAAAAAAAAGAATAGTTACCATGGTAACTCACATCGGACAAGATGCATTTATCAAATATGCCATGCCCTGAACTTTTGAAAATGATGAAAGAGTCATTACATATGAGGATAGAAAGAATTTCTGGGTGCAAAAGACAGCTGGAGTTTATTCAATATTGCTTCTGTTTTCAAAGAGTTATCTGCTGCTGCTATGAACATGGAACAAAAAGAAATGTTTGCGCCATTGTGTTATGGGACTGTGTATTGTATTTACTTCTTTGTGTGTCTGTAAAGGGTTATTTATTATTCCTATGTCAGGTTTTTCTGTTTAGTTGCATACTATTTACAGTCTGTGTTTTGCTAAGCATAACTCATTTCTTTAAAAAGCTAGCTTTCAAAAAAAAAAAAAAAGCTAGCTTTCTGTCTAGTTTGAGTCTTCACATGATGCTATCTGTACTATTCGTGCATAACAGCATTTGAAATATTCAAAGTTCCTATTCTAATTTGAAAAAAAAAGTTCGTACTAAAAAAAGTTAGCGTAACACACCATTAATTGCATCTGTGAAGGCCACTCAGGAATCCTAACCTGCAGAAGAGGTCCGCTTCCACCATCTCAGCCTGTGGTCAGTGGGCTGTTATGTGTCTGCTAAGGAGGTAATATGATTGTACTTATTAATGTCATAGTTGATTTGGCATTTCTAGCATTCTAAATTTTCATGTCATTGGTCTTTGCTTTAAAAATAGCTTAGTTTAAAACTTATGGTTACCAAGGGGGAAGGGGTGGGGGGGGAGGGATAAACTGGAACATAGGGATTGACATATACACACTACTATATATAAAATAGATAACTAATAAGAACCTACTGTATAGCACAGGGAACTCTACCTAAAACTCTGTAATGATGTATATGGGAATAGAATCTAAAAACAGGTGGATATATGTATATGTATAACTGATTCACTTTGCTGTACAGCAGAAACTAACACAACATTGTAAAGCAACTATACTCCAATAAAAATTAATTTTTAAAATGAGCTCAGTTTAAAACTGGAGCGATTGATATTTATTAAACGTGCATCGTTTTGATGCTGTATTTGGTAAGCAGATGGTAGATCCTGTATGTTACCCTGGAAATTAAGTAGGGCACATATAAATATTCACAGAGACTTAGACCTTTGCTATTTCTTAAGAGTACATCTCCTTTACCCATAGTTCTTCTTTCCTTTTGTCCTATCTGTCCTGCAGGCAGGATGAAGGAGGCATTGGCAGAGAGGGCCTGCACTCTGCCTTGATACCATTTATTCTTCAACTTGCTCTTTTAAGTTTCATTCTTAAGAAGTTGAATAAGTCACCTGAGATGGGGGTGAAGAAGGTCATCTCTCTGATGGTAACTTGAAGTGATACTGTGCTGCCCTTCAAGGGAGTATATAGTTTTCTGTGGCTCTTCAGCAAGACATGTTACTTAGTAATAGGCAACCTGGGTGGATTCCAACGTGCTCCTTAAAAGTACACCACCTCCCTTCCTTTCAACCCCCTGCAAAATAAAAGAACAAGTAAATCATAAATTTCCATAGATTTGGCACTGTGATTTGGAAGCGCTTCGCTTTTTATACTAGGGTGGATAGATTGGTAGAATCAGATTGCTCCCCAAAGAAGTATAACATTTTATTTCATTTAAGTCTTTTAAAGTTTTAAATGAATTGCTAGGTAGTTGTTTGGGAGATCAGTAAGTCAACTTTTTCTCTTTGGTTAATAGACATATCCAGTTCAACCACATGGTGCAAACTATATGGGTCAAAGTATTCACCAAGTCACTGTTGCCCAAAGCTACAGCCTAGGACCAGATCAAATCGGTCCACTGAGATCGCTGCCTCCAAATGTGAATTCCTCAGTGACAACACAGCCTGCTCCAACTCCGTATTTAAGGTGAGTGTTTGGGAGCTGTGTTAATTTTGTAATTATATGCATTAAATTTTCACAGATTTTCAGAATGAGAATAATTAGACCCTTCTCTTTATAATAATAGTGCCCTCTTTTGCTATTGAGATGAAGTTGTAGAACTTCCCATTCAAGATCCCATGAAATTGGAATGGTGCTGTCTTAGCTTTGTTAACCATACTGAGATGGTGCCTAGACCTGGCTTATGGTCTGGGTCCCCGGGACAAAATAAAGCTAACTGTCCCTTACAGGACCCAAGCCTGTACTTGGGTCCTGTAAGGGTATACTTAGCATGGTGCTCTAATCAGCCTAGTAAAGTAGTCCCAGACATATTTTAGGAGCATGTACTCCTAAAAATCAGAAAACTTTTGTTACTTTGACTCTTAAAAAGAAGTGTGTTTGAGCTGTGGAATTTGTAGTCTAAGTTTTCATACTAACTTCTATTCTGAAAAACATGTTTAAATCTTGCCTTCTGTTAAGTTTGCTTAACCACACAAAATGTTTATTCAGTACAGTCACGTGTAATGATTTGTAAGGTCTCTTCCCAATCTTAAATTCCATGTGTATAAATTTTAGACATTATCTGGAAATTAAATAAATCTGTTGGTACTGGTGTTTGATTAAGTTAAAATGTAAAAATTTTGTTATCCTGGGTGACACTAGGAATTACAGAGAGAAAAACGAGTATAGACATTACTCGTTTTTGGACGAGTATAGACATTAATCCTCCTATATTGAAGCAGTGTATTTGGTGCATTTAAAAATTATATATCTTTTATAAGATATGCTATAGTAATTACAGGAACAAATGAAAGTCCTGCGATTTGGTGTGACTTTTCAACTTAGTGGGGTTTTGGGGGTTTTGTTTTGTTTTTGTATAGTGTCAATAAGTAAACTATAGGTCAGGACTATTTTGAGGGTAGATTCAGGACCCTATGTGGATTACATGTTCTCCCTGCCTTTATTATTTTTATGTAGGGATTCAGGTTAAGCTATCCCGGGCAGCTTTGAAAGTGCCCTACCAAAGGAAAGTATAAAGAGTGGGTGAGGAATAGTGGTCTCCTCTGTGCTGATCGAGAGAAGAGGGAAGGGAGAAAATGGGCTGAGGGTGTACTTGAGCCGGGGTTTTGTTCTCATTGCAGCTGGCCAAGGACGCCAGCATCAGAAACAATCTGCGTCTCCTCAAAAGATTTCTAAATGTTTTCCGTGAGAGATTTTGGAGAAAACAGAATTAGATAGGCCGTATAAGCCTATATTTTATTTCTTTTTGAGTACTTTCTTCTTCCCAAATATAAAAATTACATTAACAGTATTGGATAGCTGGAGTAGTTAAATCATAATCGGAATAGTAGAGGTATATAAACTTAAAGAGACGGAAAAGACATTTTTATTTTCTCATGATGATTGATCTCTGACCGTAACTTAGATAAAGTAATTATGGTTTTCTTTTTAAAATTTTGTTTGTAGTGCTGGACAAGACACTGTTTCCAATCCTACTTACATGAATCAGAACTCTCACCTTCAATCAGCTACTGGTGCAGCTGCTTACACGCAGCAAATGGGGATGTCTGTGGATCTGTCATCTCACCAGAGCACTACTTCCAGTTTGCCGCGGTCGGCAGGCTTTGCAGTGGCAGCTCCAGCTCATTCAGTTTCACAGCAGCAAACAGATTACCCTCAGCAGCAGCCTCTCCTTTAAAAACAAACCAAGCAAAAAAAAAAACAAAAAAACAAACAAAAAAAAACAAACCAAGCATTTTCTTGAAAGCCTTCCTAAGTGTACTACTTGACCCTTGTGATTGTAATCTGAAAATATTAAAAGAAGAAAAAAAATTTTTCTCAGCTCAAAAGGCCCATGAATAAAGCTCAGAAACGTATTTTACTCTAACAGGCCATAAAAGGTTTTTTCAGTCCCAACTTGTTTGAGGTCAAATTTTTGATGAGAGGCAGCTTCAGGTTCCTTCCAGTTAGTTTTTTCTTACTTTCAAATCTCTCTACACAAATCTGGACAACCAGTAAGTAGCCTTATGACACTAAACAACATGACATAGGAGCGTATAAAGAAACCACCATTTACCCCTAAAATATGGTAATTGGGAGAGCACTGAAACGTTTAAGTATTTTTTGTCTGCATATTTTTTTTTCAGAGTTTCCCACCCATCATTATTTTAAAAGGCAAACATGTTTTTGTGTACGCTAGCTTCCCTACATATTTCCTTTGGCTTCTTAAATTGTAGTTGTGTTTGCAGTACTGTCAGTTTTGCTCTCAGTGGTGTGTTGAGTAGTAATTAGCATATAATTGTCTACAGAAGCAAGAGCACTTTGGGAGGAACAAAAATGTTTTCTGTTATTATCAGTGAAGACCATGTAAATGCAGTTGTGTGATAAAGCATTTAGCCAGTCCCCCAGTCATGCCAACAAGTGGGCTGAGGAATGCCCCACAAAACATTTCCATTCCCTGGAAAAAAACGATTTCTTTTCCTACAGGCTTCCTTGGCATTTAGAATTGCCACTAATGACCTTTTCAAGTGATTTTGGCCATTCTCTAATGAAGGTATGGTCAGTTTTTTTGTTTGTTTTGTTTTCCTGTAGTGTGGTGTGCAGAGATGCTGCATTCCCTTTTTACAGAGTATATGTGAATTTAAGCTATGAGACATTCCTAATAATTTGATGTGATATATATACCAAGTGTGGATGATGTGTGTTTTTATTGATGTTGTTCTTTTAAAGAGATGATTTGAGTACCACTGGTATGCCAGACTGTTGAAAATTTTGGCCATTCCTTTCAAAAGTAATCCTGAGCCTGTGGAATAATAACAGGCAATGGCTTTATAGGGAAGCCATCAAGACAGTTTTCCTGAAGCCTATGTTTTAAAGTGAGTTTATAGTGCTAACAGATTCCATGTACTTTAGGAGTTCGGTAGTAAACCAATAAGGATTGTTTTCTTTCCTAAAAATTTGCACACTACTGCATCATCTGCCAACTTTTTAGATAACACAACATGCAAATACATATGCTTACAGATATATGGTATTTAGACTGGGGAAAAACAATGGACATAAGTTTTGTTTTTAAAAAGTTAACTTGTGGGAATTCTCTGGTGGTCAGTGGTTAGGACTCGGCGCTTTCACTGCTGGGGCCCGGGTTCGATCCCTGGTTCGGGGAACTAAGATCCCGCAAGCCGCCAAAAAAAAAAAAAGTTAACTTGCATGGAAGCAAGATTTCTATATTGTTTTTTAAAGAAAGCCCTTAATCTTTCTACCAAGAATCCGTTTGAAGACAGTACTCTGGAAATTTTTGTCATTTATGTAGTTACAGAAATTTGATTATAAGTATGTTCCTTTTTCAAAGAAACTGTATATTAGAACAAAATAGTCTTATGTATACTACTTGGTCTACATGTAAAGGGAAAAACAAGCAGTATTTGAAAGCCCAATTTCTGTCATTGTCTTATTTCAGGTACAAGTAACTGGAAAGAAACTTAACCTTTCATGTCTCTGTTCTGTTTTTTATCCAGTATTTTCCTTCTATGTGAATTCAATTATATACTTATAAAAAATTCTAAAATGGCACCTTACTTTTTTGGAAATGAATCTTCTATTCTTTAAAGAAAACAAAACATAAAAAACATTTACAAAGCTGCTCTTAATAATAATTAATGTTTGCATATATATGGAAAATCTTATTTTTCCCCCAAACAATATTTAATAAAGTTATTTTAATGTTTGTGTAAATAATTCATGTATAATTGTGATCTGAGTTGTAAAAGCTTAATTCTGTATAAGTCTTTGAAGTAGAATAAATACTGCACACCCACTAAATCGGGATCTGCCATTTAAGTTCACCTAATGTAGTTTTGTAATGATATAACATGCAACATGTATATAGTGTATATTGGCATTTAGCAGTGAAATTTTATACATCCAGAAGTTTCTTCTCCCTTTTAAATTAAAAATTATTTTTGCCATACTGTAATGAATTTTGTGTTGCAGGTTGTTGATAGTATAAAAACGTTATTGAATCTGTGTACTGAGATGATATTTTTGGTGTTAATAAGAAACACAGGGTTGTTATTTTTCTTTCTTTTTCATGATCTTATGGATTGTATTTAAGACCTGTTTATAATTAAATGTTTTCTGCCAAAGGAATTGTCTAACATCAAATTTCTACATTAGGTTCATAGGTTTATATAAAAAATAAAAATAACTTCTGCTTTTTCATATTGTATCTTGGTACATTAGAAAGAATTCCTGAAAATTTATAATAAAATTAATTTTCGCTAATGTAGGAAAAATTTCCCCTGGATGTTAAACTGTATAAAGTAGGATATGTTCTTATAGTTTGGAAAATGTATGGTCTATCAGTATTGTCTTATAATTTGGTAATTTGTTTATAAAATTACCTGAACATTAAATAATTATAATATATCAACTAGGAGTTGATACTTGACTACGTAACAAATTTCACTGTAAATTTTTGAAGATAGTTATAGTTTCATTGTCCAAATTTTTTAAAAAATTGATTATTAGATGTTAAAAAAAATTATGGCTTAAAGATTTAAAAAGCAAGTTTTTCTTAGTAAAAATTGTAAGTGTCAAGGCCCCTGACTTCTAAGAGAGGATTTATTGAATTGTCATTATGATGAGAAAGCTGAAGTTATTTTTGTAAATAATAAATTGTAAATAATATAGCACCAGTCTGTCATGCTTTGTTTCTGTCAAAAGGCATTTTTCTTATTTACTTACATCAGTTTTAGTAAGTAAAGGGAGGACTCAATTCTAGGGATTTGATTTTTTTGTTAATTTGATTTATTTTTGTTTGAAGGTTAAAGATTTTTTTTTTTACATTTATTTATTTATTTTTGGTTGCATTGGGTCTTCATCGCTGTGCTTGGACTTTCTCTAGTTGTGGCGAGTGGGGGCTGCTCTTTGTTGCAGTGCGTGGGCTTCTCATTGCGGTGGCTTCTCTTGTTGCGGAGCACAGGTTCTAGGTGCGCGGGCTTCAGTAGATGTGGCGAACGGGCTTAGTTGCTCCGCGGCATGTGGGATCTTCCCAGACCAGGGCTGGAACCCGTGTCCCCTGCATTGGCAGGCGGATTCTTAACCACTGCACCACCAGGGAAGCCCCAAGATTTATTTTTTAATAAAGCTTTCTGCAGAAGAACTATTCTAATTTTACCAAGCCAAATTTGAGTTTGCATCTTTAAAAAACATTACTGTGTCAAAAAAAATTAGGTTGCTTACGTAGAGTAGTGGGATGAATAGTGTCCTCCCAAAATTCACGTTCACCCAGAATGTCAGAATGTGACCTTATTTGGAAAAAGTCTGCAGATGGAAGTAGGTAAGGATCTTGAGATGAGATCATCCTGGATTTAGGGTGAGCTCTAAATCCAATGACAGGTGTCCTTATAAGAAGAGAAGACACAGAGACAGCGAGCAAGTCATGTGAAGATGGAGGCATAGATCGGAATTATTCTGCCACAAGTCAAGAACTGCCTGGGGCCACCAGAGCTGAAGGAGGCAAGGAAGGATTCTTCCCTAGAGACTTCAGAGGGAACATGGCCTTGCTGACACCTTGATTTCAAATGTCTAGCCTCTAAAACTCAGAAGAAATCAGTGTTTTAAGGCACTATGTTTGAGGTACTTTGTTATGGCCGCACTAGGAAACTAATGAACTTGGATAAAAGTGTACAGCAAAATCTGGATACCAAGCATTCCAAACTTTTACAAGATTGGTTAAAATTGTCACAAGAGTTCTGAGACAAATGTTTGTAGCCCAATAGCAATCTTTTATTATCTTTTCCAAACTATAATGAAATTGCATGGATAAATGAAACTAAGACCCCTGATAATCCCATAATCCCATTTTTAGTGATTTTTTTAAAAAACATCTACATTTCAATTATTGCTTTCTTTATGCCAGAGGTGTTAACAAGATTGTAGCTTATGCATTTACTATTCACTCTTCTCCTCTATCTTGAGTAGTGGGTATTGAACGAAAGGAGAAATGTTCAAAGGCAAGCAGAGGAACAGAAGAAGAAACCAGAAAACTGGATTGGATATTCCCCAGAAAGGCTACTGAAGAATGGAGTTGTGTTCTTATTTTATACCATTTAATATACTCATGAGGAAAAGAAAGACTTTCCAATATCTTTATCCAATAAAGATAATAAAGATATCCAATACAGCAAGTCAGTGACCTCTACTAATTGTCTAGGGAGCCTGCTACCTTTAAAAAAAAATTGAGGTGAAATCATATAACATAAAATTAGCCGTTCTGAAATGAACAATGGCATTTAGTACATTTATAGTGTGCAGCCACCACCTCCCAAAATTAGACTTTTTGTGTCTCGCTGTTTTCACTTAATATAAAGTTTTTGAGGTGCATCTCTATATATACCATAATATGAGGTTCATATACCACAGTTTATTCATTCATCTGTTGATGGATACTTGGGATGTTTCCACCTTTTTGCTGTTGTGAATAGTACTGCCATGGACATGCATGTACCTGTTATTTGAGTACTGATTTTCAATTCTTCTGGATCTATACATAAGAGTGGAACTATTGGGTTATGTGGTAATTCTATATTTAATTTTTTGAGGATCTGCCAAACTTCCACCAACAGTGCACGAGGGTTCCAATTTCTCTACATCCTCACCGACGTTTATTTCCTAGTTTTAAAAGTTATAGCTCTCCTGGTAAATGAGAAGTGGTACCTCATTGTGGTTTTTGTGTTTCCCTAATGATTAATGATGTTGAGCATCTTTTCTTGTGCTTGGCCATTTGTATATCTTCTTTGGAAAAATATCTGTGTGAGCCCTATGCCCACTTTTTAATTGGATTGTTTGTCTTTTGTTATTGAGTTGTAAGAGTTCTTTATATATTATGGATACTAGACTCTTACTATATACATGACTTAGATCTAGTTTCTTCCCTTCTATGGGTTGTCTTTTCACTTTCTTTTTTTTTGCGGTACGCGGGCCTCTCACTGTTGTGGCCTCTCCCGTTGCAGAGCACAGGCTCCGGATGCGCAGGCTCAGTGGCCATAGCTCACGGGCCCAGCTGCTCCACGGCATGTGGGATCTTCCTGGACCGGGGCACGAACCCGTGTCCCCTGCATCGGCAGGCGGACTCTCAACCACTGCGCCACCAGGGAAGCCCTTTTCACTTTCTTGATGATGTTCTTTGATGCACAAAAGTTTTTAATATTGATGGAGTCCATTTTATCTATTATTTTTTTGTTGCTTGTGCTTTCGGTGTCATATCTAAGTTCATTACTAAATCCAAGCTCATGAAGATTTTCTCCTGTTTTCTTCTAAGCGTTTTATGGTTTTAGCTCTTATAATTAGGTCATTGATCCATTTTGATTTAGTTTTTGTACATGATGTGAGGTAGGACTCCCAACTTCATTCTTTTGCATATGGGTATCCAGTTGTCCCCATTTGTTGAAGAGACTGTTGTTTCACCAGCTGCTTTTTGACACTGCTATAACGTACTCTAATGGTAGTCAGTTCTAGAACCTAAGTCCTCCAACTGCAATGCATCAACCACATAGCTGTATAGTTTGCAGTTCTAAGAGGTGACAGCCTTGTACTCATCTGATTACTTCTGTCACATACCAAAAGGGGAATCAGTGCTATCTTGTCAGCATATAGCTCCCCACGGTGAACAGGTAGCCCATGAACAGATATGTTGGGTGTCAATGTAGAGGTGGTTTTTAGCTGTCACATAAATTTTTTTTTTCTCCAAGTAACTTCAAACAAGTGTTGTGAAAAGTACATTGTCTAAACTTTATAAATGGGACATAGAACCCCAGACAAATATAATCCTTATCATATTTCTTTCCTGGGAAACCCTCCCGCAGGGATTTTTGCCTACATGTCTTTGGTCAGGACTGTGTCAAAAGGCTACCCTTAACGGCAAGTGAGTCTGGGAAAGTGAGTATTTTGTTTTCCAGCCTCTATATAATATAGAGAAGGCAGGAAAGAAGATGATTAGGAATGAATGTAGAGTGAGCCATTCTATAGTATCTGCCACAGAGACAGACCTGTCCAGGTGTGTTTACAAGCTGGTGTTACTATTTGTGTGCCTGGTAAATAAATTCAGACTCAAATTGCTCTGTTACTGTCCCATGGTCAAATAAGCTCTTGTTCAGATTCTCTAATATAAGCACACCATAGTTTTTTAGTCAATAAAGGCTAGAATTAATATATTTACATCTGACTTGATTATTAAAACTGGGACATTTTTTTTTTAACCTCAGGAGAGACAGAGAAGTCCCTGGAAGTGGAGATGGGGATTAAAGATTTAAGCTGCTCTTGTCACTTCTATTTTAAAATAGATTTAAAAAATTACAGGTTTATTAGCATTCATTAATTAATTCATATAATAACATAGCTACTATATGCTGGGGATGCTAAGAACTGAATTTCCAAGGCTGAGTTGTTTCTCGCTTCACCATGCACTAACTGGTTATATAACATCAGATGTTGCACTTTGACTTGATTGTAAACCATTTTCATATACAGTGTCATTGAATTCTCAACACTTTTTAGAGAGGTAGGCAAAGAGGTTAAATAATCTTCACAAGGTCACACAGCTAGTTAAGTGGCAAAGTTAGGATTATGAACCGGTCTATCCGATGCTCACGCATGTGCCTTTTCCCTTTTCCCTTTTCCTTTACACTAGTGTGACTATTGCCTAGAAATGATTTGTATATTAAGGTTATCAGGTAACAGCTTCCTTTCTCACAAATCACTGAGATTGATGGGGTCCCAAAGGGCTCACATGGATATAAAATGCCTTCAGATGTGAGAACGCTCATCTAAAGAAGAGCATACAAGTGGCTGGATCTATTTACTGTGTAACTTGTAGTACACTTAGCTCTGTCACACAGGTGGGCTGATGAGACCACAGTTTGATGCAAACAGACTGGCTCTTTCTGAGACTCTGACAGGGTTCTGTGTTTGCTGAAAGAGTGAAATTCAAGGGATTGCTCTGAGGAAGACAGCAAGTGACAACTAGTTGAGTGATCTGAACTAGGAGAGTAGTTCCGAGTTGAAGCCTGGGGACCCACCGTCAACATACATAGGCTGGTTTCTCCAAGAACCAAAGTTGCTGAGAAAAATCATTCAGCCTGAGC